AAATATAAACATTGGTCTTGTCACTCTAAAAGTGAACAGTTTTCTGCACAACATGCTGTTAATTTCAGAGAGTTAGAAGAGGCCTGGCTCAGAAGTAAAATTACTGAACAGAAAGTTGGCTCTGTTTTACCTCAAACCAGGACAGCAAAGTGGGCGAATAAATTTGCCACAGATGAAACACCTCTGCAGGTTAAGTCCCCCGAGGAGAGGGCAGTTGGGGGGTTAACATGTGTGGTGCCTTGCCATGTTGCAGGGCTGCCCAAGCAGTGCAAAGCATGGTTTAAGTAGCTGATTAAGAGTTGCTACAGACTAAGCCACTTCCATGGAGTATCAAGCCATATAGTGGACCAGGCTTTGAAATTTCTCCCCGTGTCTGAGAATCAGGTCACCTCTTGGGTGCCAGCTGTGGCATTAAAAGTCTAATTTTAGGCTCTTGCCTGCAGCAAGCATCCCTGTAAACGGTCAGCTCCTCTGCCAAGCTTCTGTAGGCTGGAGTGGAAATTTGCATCAGGGAGGCTTTAGAGTCTGCGCTTGATTTGAGAAGAAGAAAACAAGACGCAGAAAGATCATCTGGATGGAGCTGCCTCTGTGAGGGCAACACGTGCAACACAGACAGAATGAGTTATTTTGCTTTTCAGCAGTTTTGGGGCCAAATCTGTGACTTCCCGCCATCTTTCCACCCTCCTCAGGGCAGCTCCCAGTGGCTGCAGGCTGCCACCTCACTCATCGTGGCCATCCCTAATGAGAGGGGGGGACTGCCACCCTATGCCCACGATTTCACATACATAGCTGATACTCTGACACGACCCCTGGGTTACCCAAGGAGGCAGATTAGTGAGGTGCTTGTTTGCAAAGGACAGTTCTTTTACGGTGGCACGAGTTATCTGAGATGCAGGCTCTATGCATGAAAACACAATACTTTGAGCTCCTTGGCTCAAAGCGCTCTGATGTGACAGTGAGATACATATTATAGGGTCTTAAATCATGTCTGCAGCACTGATTACGAATTTACATAGTCTTGTTTCAGCTTGCACCAGGATGAGGGTCAGACCTGGAAGAGATTCCTCGGGGATGGACTATTCAAGTGCTCCAAATTCCTGCTCAGGGGATCCTGGGAGGGGATATTGCTTAAGTGCTACCTTCGTTTTCCAAGCTTTAGAGAAACAACTTGGAGGAAGCCCATCCCACTGGCAGAGAAGGCTGTGCAGATGTTTGGGGCATAGCAGTTAAATGTGTTTACTGCCACACTCTTTGCACAGAATTACAGTAAGCAGGGCAGCTGGCAGAGAACCAAATCCTGACCCTCCCAAAACTAGGGGATTGACTCGTGCAGGTCAGGGTTTCACCAGGCTCTACTTCACACCTTATTTCATTGTTCATTAGAACCTAAAATCCAACTGAACAGACCAGCCGGGTACCACTCGGAGAAATGCATGTGTTTTCCAGTGTTTGGAGGAACAAGGATGATTAGCATGTCCCTTTGCCCCAGGTCTCTTGTCCCCATTTTCTATCACAATAACTAACCACAGCACCAACTTCCCTCCAGCTGTTTATTCCACATTTTACAGGGAACATCTGGACCACTTCTACATTTGCTCTCACTGAAGGACTTTTGCCTCTCTGAGATGAACTTGCAAGTGAGCTGCCTCATGTGAATGGGTTGGCCGATATTCACAGGAGCTTTTCTTTTAATACTGTCTTTATATTTAAATGGAAATATTAAACTCAGTGGCATTATTAAACCTAAAGTTCTGGTCTAATATGTCATAACCATGAGATCCATGGGATGTTTGAGTCAACCCCTGTGACAGAGGTTCCAGAAACAGCGGGCAAGGAAGGTGCTATAGGCAAACAAACCTCTCCATGGAGATTAACCAACCATCCTGACCCCTCCTGTGTGTACAGCAATGCAGACCTACGCACAGGGATTGCTTTCAGCAGCCGTGCTTTCCAGGACATATTTCTAATGGAGAGAAAAGCACTTAAACCGGAAGATTGTGACATAAGGGCAAAACCTCTTCATCACCCAAGCCTCTCCAGGAGAAACCCTAAAGGTATGAGGCCCAATACTGCTATCGTGCTGCTCTTTTTTAAAATGAGCCTGACTCAAAGAAGACCTTGTGGGGACTCTAAAATTGGAACTTTGCCTCAAACCCTGTTTGACTGCCAGGGATGTGCAGAGTGGAGGGTCAGTTTTCCACGCAGTGGAGGTGGGACTGGGCTGACCTCCTTGCTGCTGTCACTGGGGAGGCTGTGGCTGGTGTCCTGACAGACCTAGTTGGTGTGCTGAAGATGGCTTTAGATAGGGGAGTTAATTAGTTTGCAGCCCTCAGCTGGGAATATCAAATGCTGGGAAAAGCTTGCTATTTTACCCAACTCTGCAGCTCTGCAGAGGAAATAATGGCCGTGCATTGAGACCGACAATTACCGGAGTAGCCTCAAGCCAGGGCTGCTGATAAAGCAGCAGCAGCTGGAGGGTGGTAAGGCAAGGAGACAACATCTCAAGGAGCCGCAGGGCAGGGCCTCACCAGGGGCAGCCCCCGACAGATGCTGGAGACACTTTCTTGACCAGTTATAAGGTCCTGAGAGGAGCTCAGAGGCAGGTATGGCTCTGCAGGGAGGGAAAAGCGATTCTCCCTGCGCGTTTCCCTCCCCATGTCCTTCTTCTGGTTGGCTCTGTGGTCAGAAGTTCTGGAAGCCCTGTGAGCGCTCCTTTTCTTCAACAGCAGGTCTGGAGTTCGGTGTTGACAGTTCCTTATAAGCTGGACATAGCACTTCAGGAGCTGTGCCAAAGCAATCAAGGCAAAGAAAAGCGATGCTATCTTCCTGCGTAGCGCAAGTAAACATAGGCCCTTCTCTGACAACAATGGAGCTGTATTTATTTGCATCCAACTTTGGCCCTGAGGCTGCAAATAAAGCCGTATCACTTCCATCAGGACAGCAACCAGCTGAAAATCTCCCTCTGCTTTTGGAGAGCACTCGAAGTGGGGAACGCCTTGTATTTCCAAGAAAAATGTACGAAACGTGAAAGAATTAAGCCACTGCCCTTCATCATTACAGCGTGGGGCACCGGGGCTTCTCTCGGGGGTGGCAGGAAAAGGATATAACTTGAGGAACGCAACCTAATGAGCGCGGTCCACATGAGGATGAAGGAAAGGCTTTCTTGATGGGTATTTATGGAGTTACGAGCCTTTCTGGGACCCTCTGTGGTGGTGTGCTTCATTTGTGCTGTGGAACAAGTCCATCTGCTCCCGGGCACTGCAGGGTGATGATGACAGAGAGCTATGTGCCACCAAACACTGTCCTTCCAGTGCAGCCTGAGCAGACCTGATCCTCTGGGATCTGCTGTCTTCTTTTGCCATGATCATCATCAAAAGCAGCTATACAAGGAGTTCAGTGTGAAAACATCCCCTTAGAAAGGTACCAACACGAAACTCGCTAGGGAAAGAAAGAAAAAACTTACTCTTCATGAAAAAAGAGCCTTTTAAACACGGCTTGATTTCACCCTGCCCGCTCTCTGTGCGGCAGCAAAGCTCCTGCTGATGTCTGTGAACAAAATTAAGAGCTTTTGGCTCGTGTATCTATAATTAGACTGAGCAGAAGGCAAAATATTCCGGTATGACAATTTCAAAGTGGAAAGAAATAGGTCTGAGCAGATGTTGATTTGCAGGATAAACAAATCAATTAAATTCAATTTAGTCCCCTCTACTGCTCAACTCCTTTGTTCCTTGATTTGAAGCGTCAAATACAGTGCTTAAGCTGTAGGCATGACAAAAAACACATGCCAGGACAGGCGCATAAATCTGCAAACAGAAAATATATATCCAGTGTCCTTGCAGGCCTGCCGTATTTCCCTATCATCCTGCAACCTTCGGGACCTTAGCTTTCACCCAGGGCTGGTGTTCAACACAGAAAAACTCCATTTTCAGCTTTCATTCAGCGCCTTGCAAGTGAAATGATTGCCTTCAGTGCTGAAACCTCCCAGGATTACAGTGCTGTGTTAGCTTCTACTAAACAAGCAGCTTGAGCTGCCCGGTTTCCAAATTTTCAGGTGCAAGCAACATCCCTTATAGAAGGTTAGCTGGTGACATGATGCTGGGAGGGAGTTGGGCTGACCTGCACACACAGAGGTGCCAAGTCCCTCCCTGCACGTCCATCTGTTATCACCTGGGATGGCACAGTCCTTGAGGTTGGGACTTCCCTTGAAGGACTGGAAAGCCAAAAGCCATCAAGTGTGTTAAGGCAAAGGGTTTGGAAATCAGTTCAGCTGAACACAAGTAAACTCATAAATAAGGGAGCCCTCCTGATGTCACAGCTCTTTCTGAAAAGTTGAGCTTGGGACTTTACTTCCTTGAGGGGTCTGTGGCTCCTCCGACTTCCAAGTTTAGATTGAGACATAATTCAGCCTTTTTAATAATTGAAAGGCATTTGAGCCTTCTTAGTCCAAAGGAACGGATAAGCAGCTTTCTGAGGACTAAAACTCAGGCTGGTTTTATAAGGAGCATTAGTGCAATAGTCCTTCCGTGCTTAATAGTGCGTTTTGCTGCCTAATAGGAATATTAGTGTACACACAGGCTTAGGGGAGTCATCTGATGCTTTTATTGTTTGGCATTTACCTTTCTTTAAAGCTAGGACAGTATTATGGGCTGAGATGCACGGTCTTTCTGTATGTGAATGCGCCGGTACACTAAACAACAGCTAAATGCTTTAATTTGGTGAAGAGGAGGTGGGCACATTCAAAAAAATCAATGCTCAAAGAGAGATCCCGTGGCAGAGCACACACGGCTGGACAGAAGAAATGGGTAGAGAAAAAAATGGGATCCCTGCCTTTGTACTGCAACACAGTTCCCAAAATCCTGGTTCTTTGCTGAACCGTTTGGTTTTTTTCACTTGTGGGATTTATGTACATAAATGTTGAAAATCACAGCAATTTGAGAAGAGCTCATTTAATCTGGAGCATCTGCGCTCGAACGGCTGGGGGGGGTGAGCTGAGTGTTGCATCAGTTTAATGACCTGGAATACCATCGATCCGCCCCGTATCGGATGCTCCTGCGCGAGGTCTGATGTCTCCAGGTGCCACCAAGATGCAGGCACACACCCCTGTGTCCCAGAGTGACCCAGCTGGCCTGAAATGGGTAAAAGAGAGGGAAGTCATTCCTAACCTGCACAGATGGCTCCTGTTGACTCCCCTGTCTCATCCTTACAGCCCAGCCTGGGGTTACGTGGCAGGACGTGTGCTGCTTTGCTGGTGTAAAACGTTTTACTGCAGTCGAGCACTTTGCTTATTTTTGTTTTGGTTTTGAACACTGCATAAGACGGGTATTTGCAGCTGGAGGATGGCTGGAGCGGTAGGGGTGTGCTGCATGAGACAACATACTACTGCCTCTATTGCCTTGCCTTTCCTGAGCACCGAGGGCTTCCCTGTACCACGGGAATCTCAGCCAGAGGTGGGCCTTGAAGCCCCCAAAATGTGGTCCTACCTGGCTCCAGACTCCCCTCCCAAACCTACCTGCTTCCAGGGGCCCAGCACCTGTTCTCTACTTTTCTTGAAAAAAAAAAAACAAACC